GTGTTCGCCCATAAAAGCGCGCCACCGGGGGATCGCGGCTTCAAAAACTTTGCTCAAGCCGAACGATGACAACCTCAACGACGACCTCGCCCGTTGTGCGCGCCGGGAGCCTCTCGTCGCGCCGCGGCTCCGTCTCTGCGCCTGACCCGTTTGCCCTGCACGCGCTCGACCAGAATGCCGGCCGGAATGTGACCTCGACGCTCACCATCGTGCGCGTCCCCAGCGTGCCCGCCGACGACATGGGCGGCCCTGCAGACGGCAAGCGACGCCGCAGACGCTCCAGCGGAGGCTCTGTGGGCTCTACAGGCTCTGGCCGCATCTCGTTCGCCGCCTTTGGAGGCGCCTTCACCCCCATCCATGCGCCGCAGCCACAGCACGCCAACGCGCGCCCCAACTTCCACGCGCGCAAAGGCAGCCAGGGCAGCATCGCCAGCACGCCGTCGCGCCCGTATACGCCTGTCGAGCTCGTCCAGATTGCCCACGACGCGACGCACCCGACGACGCCCAGCGCCGACCCCTTTTCTTCGCCGCTGGCAGACGATGTTCTTCTGCCATTCCTCGATAGACCACAGGAGGTGGCCGCGCTCATCGCCACGCCGCCGACCGCCAAGTTGTTCGCGCTGCTCGCAAAGACGCTGCCGACTGAAGATGCCCCTAAAGACGCGTCGCCAGCGAAGTGGAGCTACAGTCAGCTGGAGCACTGGCTCACCGTCGTCGACCGCAAGGAGGCCGACGACGTTGCTTGGAACTCCTCCGTTCGCGCTTGCGTCGCTCCCCGCAGCGAGCTCGTCTGGGAACGCATCAAGGGCGCATTCGGTGTTCCTCCTGAACTCGAGCCCGACGTTGGCCCCGCTGCCGGCATGCCGGACGACCTCTACGTCGACATCGAACCTGTATTTCTGGATGACTCTCCTGAGTCCCCCGACGGTGCTATTGCCGAGGATCCAGTCGATGCAAAAGCTGCTGAAGCGATCCAGGGGCTCCGCATCCTTAACAGTCCCACATTCCCCATGGACTCGCCACAGCTCGGTGCTGTCGATAAGGACCCGAGGCCGAAGCCCATCTCTGCCCACCCCCACGTCGCACCCCGCCCGCACTTCCCCAACAGCTTCTCCGACGTGAACGTCAACGAGCGTCCGCCTCTCCTCTCGCGCCATAGCAGTGGTTCTCGCCCCGCGTCACCAGTTCCTTCTCCGGGATCCAACTACGCGCACTTCGTGGCCCAAAGGCTCCTGAACAACAGCTCGCCCGCATCGCGCATGCGTGCGGCCGCGAACGGTACTCATGAATGAATGATTTTGCTCCGCTATTACGAACCTGCACTAGACTCAGACGAAAAAGTATCACGCCTTCCTCTCTAGACTCATGTCCGCGCACGTCCACGTTCTACTCAATACCGCACTGTAGAGATACCACACACTTTCCCCCTTCGCTTTCACCTTCCGTTCAATCTTCTTTCAAAAGCACGCTCCACTCAGTTTCTCTTCGATAGCAGTCTGTGACTGTCACTTTATTACTCGCTGCCATGCGCAATACGAAGCACGCCCACGTCGACACTTCAGCTATCTGCAGCAATCGTGCTCGGACTCACCGGCCAGCGGTAGTACCTCCTCAACCGATGGCGGTTCCTCAATCGAGCGTCGTGCGTAGCAGAGCGCTATACGCTCTTCCCAGCAATGCCTTCGAAGACACTTCCGTCGTGCATCCGCCTGTCTCTCGTACTGTTGCCGCGCATGAATTTCATCTTCGTCGACCTGTCAAACGGCATCTTTCGCGCGTGCATTCCGCTCATACGCCCGGTCTCGCCGCTACCCTTGCGACTCACGTACTCGCGATACTACTGAGAGCGCCGCATGCCTGTCTGTGGTCAGGTCCCCGGCCCGTCCGAGCCCACTCATGTTTAACACAGTGACACGCGCCCGGGTTGCTCTTCGCATCGCGATCGCTGCAGTACGCACCTCTCGTCATCCCCAATCCTTCTGACCGCCCTGACCGCAGCCTAGCACGAGACATCCTCACAAGTAGCTCGTCTCGCGTCTTCTCCCGCACTCGACGCGCTATTGCTGTCCGTCTGCACAATACGATTCTGCGGACCGGGACGGGTCCTGTTCAAGAGCAGTTACGTCGCCATGTGTGGTGCAGGTGCGGACCTCGCCTCTGGGACAGAGTGTCCTTCTTCGTCTTGCAGCCCGAATCGATACGAGGTACCCGACTACAGTCCGTACAGAAAGCAGTCCGGGACTCACGTTTACGGTTCACACCGATTGGGACGCGTCTTGTAAACAGCCGTTCACATGGGAGTTACTGGGAGCCAGTTTCTCCGTTGTATACGACATGGGTGCTTTTGTCTTGAAGGACTTTCTCTTTGCAGCGCTCTTCGACGAGGAAGAGGGGCGAGGGACGGACTGCGGAGTGGAGTCTCGTCAACTGGGCGTCGCTAGATCGTTCGTCCTCTCTGAGTCTGCCGTCAGGGTGCGCTGAGGATTCTGAAGGTTCTCAGATGTGCTGATCCATCAGTGGCAATGATACGCCCTGAACCCCCGCAAGGTGGCTCTGTCCTCCGCTCAGGAGGAGAGTATGTGAAGGATGCTGTCAGACACAACTGCAGTCTGCGGGGATGACGATCTCGAACTCTAGTCGTGGTCCGTAAGCCATAGTAGCCCTTCGACGACCAGCTCGTCTGTGGGTGCCGCGCGAGAAGAGCTGTCAAGTTGTATGGCGCTAGAAGTATGATGCTGAGCAAGGACCGGAAGGTCTCATTGGCGAGGATGCCGGCCTCTGCACGCCTGGGCTCTATTGTGCCTCTGAGACGAATGGAGCGCTGGAGCTGATGAGTAAAACTCCGACCCTTCCTCCTTCCCCTTTCCACCTCATAGACCCTTCTTCGCTGACGAGATAGGACACCTGCAGCGCGTCTCCCTTCATGCTCGGCTGAGCAATCCCGCAACGCAGCGATCGCCGTCGCAATGACTTGAATCAGACATGACGAGGACGGCCCGCTGACCGTCGGCGCATCAACGTCGTTCCCGGTCCCCTCCCAACACGCTTCTCCAACCTTCATCAGTGCCTCTGCAGGGTCGCAGACACCTGCATTCTGGCCTCGATATGCACAGCGCCGGGTGGCTTGGGTGACGACTGACGTCGTATATTAGGTACACTTAGCCATATTGGAGACAAGCACACCGACGTAGCTCGTTAGACTCCATGCTACCCTCTCCTCGCACATTGCGACGTGTAGGCAGATGCAGCAGTACGTTGTCATCAAGCTTCTCAGAGCTCACGGCAAGTTTTCAGGAACTGCGACCGCATGTTTTTTTGCGTGCACGCATTTTCCGCATCGCACACCTGCCAAGGCGCCGTCGGCTTGCAGTTAGACTCCCATTGTGAGTCTTTCTCGAGACAAGTTGATGACTTGCGCAGGCGACCTACTCGGGACTCGCGACTGTGGGCAGAGCGTGCAGTCCCACCTACTTACGCCGCGCTTTCTCCCGTGAAATGCCTACTAGAGGTGCGCACACTGTATATCCTCACGGTGACTTTGAGTATTCTCAGTATATGAGGGTCATCCGCGCCACCCTCGTGCAGTTTCGATCACGATGAGTCGTAAAGTCTGTAATGCAGCGTAGACGTCGTCTTTCCGAGCCAGTATACAGCTACACAGCTGCACGATCCGTTCAGGGCCAACTCTTCCAGCACACACTCTACAGGTTCGTCACGCTATGCCACGACGAACGCGCGCCGAGGAGTGTTTTCTGAGGCGGAAAAAAGAAGATGCCGGTGCTTACTCGCCTGCGAAGACAAGGAGAAGTGTCTTGCATTGCTGCCAACCTTCATCGCCTGCGGTATTCTCTTACTTGTCGCGCAGTGGTTGGGACGCTAACAAAGGTGGCGAGTCATATCGCCACCTGCCTGCTGAGTGGCGAGACTAAGAGTAGCGATGACTAGGATAATACCTCACCGATCATCCAGGGTGAGCGTGCACCCGTTTGTGGTCTTAGCTCTTTTCGCGCGCTGGACGTTCGTGACGGACACTGCTTTGTGGCACGAAGACCTAAAGCCAATCTGGTCATCTCAGATCGATCTGTGTACAAGGATTGCCAAGATTCACCTGCAAGTCGATCTATCTGATATGCAAAGCTACGGTTTCTGAAGGCACGCGACATGGCGCGCACAAGCAAGCCACCGTACCCTATGTGCGAAGAGAAGGTAATCTGCGTCCTGAGCGGTCAGGGCCGGGAAAATGCTTCAGCTGTGGCTCAGAGCGACAAAGCGCTGTTTGCGTACTGAGACGATTTCTCCAGGACCGCGTGCCTGAATGAGAAGGCGTTGTCGTGCTGGAGGCGTATGACGCTGAACCCTGTCGTGGCGTTGAATGCTTCCTGTCATTCCGGAGTGGCTGAGCTCAGTCTTGCACTGATCAGGTCCCATTGAGAGCACATGGTTAAGTGCCTGTCGAAGCCTCGGCGGACCACAGACTCGCCGAGAGCATACCAGAGCCGCGAATAGAGACCCTGCGGCGATCAGAGTCAATAAACACGAGAGATTTCATCAGTTTCAATAACTTAATGAATACTCCGCGCGCACCAGCGTCCCGGTTGCGACCATAACAACGTCTGCGTACGTGCCATGCTGTTCGCAGCTGGCCACATTTCCAACCGGAGTGTCGTCCTCACGAACCGCGACCGGAATGGAATGTTTGTTACGATTATTAGTTTACACGCGGGGGCAGATCGAAACTGATGTGGTAATTTCGAAATTCGCTGCGGAGCCGGTAGCTTTAGGTGCTGAGAGGACACGACGGTTCGTCGACAACGCTGCAACACGCACTTGCGGCCAGGCCGAACTTCCCGGAGCTTGTTACTATGCATCGCACGGGTGTAGAAGCTCGGCGTCTGACGGCGTGAATACGGATCCTTTGACGGATGTTCACTCTGTGGAGGATTTATCATGACCAAGATTGCCTCAAACATTATATAGATACTGTAGCGAAAGCATTGTATGGCCCACTAGTCCAGTGGTTAGGACACTCGTTTCCGGAAGTTGTCCAGCGAGAGGTCGTCGGTTCAAGTCCGGCGTGGGTCGTTATATTTTCATATTTTGCCACGCAGGTGGCATAGTGCGTGGCATTCGTTGTTACTGTACCGGTGTGGGTTCAAGAGGTCAACAAGTCGCACCGGATTCGGCCGAAAGGCGCTCTCGCGGACTTTAAATTTGTTGTTCCGCTTCGTACATCGTTCGCGTCCAACATACAGTAGCCGAACACACGCTAAATCG